GATACCACGAGATGGCTAACGAGTACATCTTGACTACAACCATCAACTGCCTTCTGATATTTGGCTTACGGGGGATCTTATCGATTAAATGGGACGTAGTCCTCCTGTAGTGGTGATCATAGTCAACCGCGATTCGACGCCATAATACACACTCTTGGTGGGTAGCTATGTGGTGATAGCTAACAAGAAATTATTTTGTAATTAATTTTTGTTATTATTCTTGTTTTCTATAATTTCGTATGATTTCGATAATTGCTATTACTAACTGCAAAGTTGTGCTAAAAGTGTGACTTTGATCCTCCGTTGTCGTTTTGTACTCTTATGGCATGAACATCGGTTGTCGTTCACGAATGCACTGCTGCATACACTTCTCATTCTCACATATCAGTTAATAGCAACTTGGGCGAGACTACAATTTATGAACGAACCAGTCAGATTTAGGATTGAAGGTCTTGAATATCAGCGCAAAATTCATTCATCCTTTTGGCTAAATAACGTTTTGGAATTTTAGCTGATTTCAGTTCATGACGAAAACACTAAATCTAGTCCCTAACCCTAGCCATCAACTGTAAATCACAATTCTAATTCTTCAGGATTAAAATAATTTCGTGGATAAAGGAAATAGTGCATGCGAGTTGCAAACGTGAGCTTAACAACCACAGATAAGGAGACCATACGAGGAAATTATTAGACGAAAGTAGTTTAGGTAGATCAGTACTAAATGCTTTGCTGAATCCTTAAGAATATATTGGATTTTTTTTCCAAAAGATTTAAATACAGTTGCCTGAATCACTTCAGGTGTTCGATAATCGAATGATCATCCGCCTTATATAATGAGAGGTACGGTTTAGATAATTAATTAGAGCGCCAGACATCACTAGTTTTTTGAATCCGCTAGAATAGGGTCTGTGACTGCACAGTTAGCGGGATATAGCCATCAGATACGAGTAAGTATAAATTTCTAAATGCAGATTGTAGTGATACATTTAGTTTGTGCTTGTTAATTTCATAATTAGTGAGGCCCACAAGTAAGTTCTTACTTGACACACGCGGGGTGTGTTCTCTAACCAATATAGAGTGTTTCATAAACGAGTTTCCCTCGACTTTAGACCGTCAAGGCTTTAAAATATTCAGAATCCTCTGTGGCATGTGCACAAAATGTCATTAAAAAAAGGCTTCACTGTCACGTGCTGTTACGTTGACGGGGGTAAAGCTCACTCAAAAAGATTTCTCATAAACAAGGACATGTAAGTGAATAAGACCGCTATCGAAAATTTGCAACAGGACTATTTTAATTTAAAATTCAGAGTTTGAAAGCATGATGTTCCGCCTATCAAATAAACTCCTTAAGACCCTTCTCGGACGTTTGCAACAATATGTATAAAAATCCCTCTATACAAACGCTTTATTAATGTGAATGCTTGTTCTGATTTGAAATGTGAAGTTATTTCTCTAGGTCCTCTAATCTGAGAATCCTACAGATCTTTCGATTCTAGATGAGACGGGTCCAAATTTCTTTATTTGTTTTTTTACTATTCAACTAAATTTCCACGATTGTCACGAACTACATATACGTTGTCTTACTTGATACTTTGGTTATGATAGCTGTCATACTGATTCATTCCTCTTTTAAAGAGTGTATTTTTTCAAATGACTCGAATTGTGTATTTTTCGATTATGAGGCGAAGCACACTATCAGAACTTGAAACGCTCATTATTGTGACAAGTTCTCATTTTGCTCATGTTCTTTCACTTGATTTGTGATGCTAACCACGCATAAAAGAAAGTCAAACCTGAAACTGGTTGACGGTAATGGATCCGAATTAGACGATAACTTCCCTTTCACAAGGCAAATGCTTGTTGACTTCTTTGTGTGCCATTATTCAGATCCAAATCAGGTCAACCATACTGATAGTGACACTAGTTGTGATTTGATGACAAATGTGATAGAAGATTCTGGTCTACAAAGAGATCAGATGCCTGAAGTCCTAGAGCGAAGTGTGACACAGACAGAATGGTATACGAGATGAACCTCATATAGAACTAGAGTGGACGATTGTTTTTTTATCGAAAATAGTCATTTGAACGGTTAAAGAGCGGCGCATGTGAATGCTTGAGTCATTTAAAAAGGAGGATTAATGAATACAAGAAAAGCTACTTGTCACTTATTGTGATAGGTCTAGAACTCCCTAGGGTAAAAGTGATTTACGTTGATGAATAGAAAACAGGGTAATGTAATATTCGTGACAAATTGAGACGTGCGTATTGCCGAGGGTCGTCGATTATAATCAGCGTTCGCCGTATGTACTACACTATTGCAGAGGTAAGGAGAAAGCAACTAACAAGGGGTGCGTTACGATGAGTTATTTGCTAGGTATAGCGAAGCCAGATAAATTTTAAAACTAGTATTTAGATATTCACATGTAATTGCTTGAGAAACACTAGTGAGCTTATTTAATGGTGTGGACTCTGACTATAATGCTAATGAAGAGCTAGCAAATTTGGGTGTAAGGATGGAAAATCGCCTTATTTATTTTGAATAAATTGATAATTCTGTGGTTCGAAAATTCCTAGTGACATTAGAATGAACCGTTAAGTTAGTGCCACGGTCGTTGCAAGTACATTGGGCAGACTTACTTAATGAACTGACGGTAAGCGACAGAGATTCGACCTTTCAGCGCTCACTAGGTCTATATCGTCTCGTCGCTAGTGCAAGGTTTCAACATCTAGGAACCCGTTATGAAAGGGAATATAGAACGAAGTGGAACTGCCATTTGCAATCTTGGCATGGGTAATCTGACATTATAAAAATGTGCCATATGTGCTCTAATGATCACACCATTTATCAGTGCTCACATTTTTGACGCTGACAGTGAGAGACTGGTGGTCGGAAGCGAAAGTCAAATGTACTTGAATGGCCAGTCTTCCACAATGACATAGAGCCAATGAATCCGGGTTAAAAACGCGTTGTTAAAGACTGCTCACAGACAAATTATTATCTGTTGCGTAGAAAACCAGAGATCAACACAATGAAGGTCGAACTAATCATGAATAGTTATTGAGGATTTGTTGAGTTTCCATGATACCATTTGTACTTGGGATGAAAATCGAGATGTGGAAGTCGTATCTTATGCTTTCTTGAACACTGATATGGACTCGCTGATCTTTTTGAAACAATGACTAATAGACGAATAAATGGAAACAGTTATGACAGGGCTTGGAATTTGACGTGAAGATAATTTACCAATTCTGGATAAATTGGATTTTGACACTGTCTGATGTCAGTCCACAAAAGAAGTCATAGCTCTAATTCCTAAGCCTAACTCATTACTTTCAATCCTAATTCCGATTTCTCACAGCATTATATCATCCCCATTATATCGTAGTAAGTAGGTTAGTTTTATCGAGGTTGCTTTAGCGTCCATCAAAGTTCGTTAGTAAGTTAAAGTGTCACTTGAACCTCCTACCAACACCGGAAGACATTCGGCTTCCACTGTCATATTTGAGTATAATCTTTCTTAAAAGTCATAAAATGCTGTAATACGATCATAATGGCCAATTTAACAACCATGACCACAATAAATTTAAACCAATGTGTGATAGGTCCAGCTGCTTCAATCGTTTGCTTTCATCCTACTTGCTTCAATTCCAACATCCACACATCCACTCGCAAAACTAGGGCTTGTAGGAAATCACTAAACTCAAGCTCACGTGCTTGTTAGAATGGCCAAAAGTAACGTCGCGATTTTAAGTCTTCAGGTTTTTATTCTTATGTAGCATATATTCACTTGTTATCTACCATTCTTTTCCCAATTGATTGATCACGGGAAGGTGGTCAATGTTAAGCTTGTCTAGTCCTTATTAGTGCAGATCGAGGTTATTCACGGCTCGGATAGCACAGTAATAACGTCTCTGACTGTGAAGCTGGGTGACACAAGATTGAATCCGCCAGGGAGCACCAGGTCCCTCAAAATTACAGGTACACCTTGCTGACGAGTGCCAAGTAGCACGAAACCCGGGTCCAGGGTTTCCTGTTGACTACCTCCAACTACCATCTAAACCATTCTTTTCCTTCAGAACAAACACCTTTTGTATTTTTTCACTGAATTCTTTTGCGTTTTACCCTTAAGTCCATTGAGTAATATGGAAAGTACTTATGCTATAGCAACAAAGACGGCCGTTGAAGTTCATAATTCTGGGGTAAATAATGAGTCGGACACCATAGTTTGAAACAATGGAATTATAACAAGGCTCGTGATGACACCAGGAAAATAATTTCAGATTATTATGTACCACACGGATGACCTGACTCAAACACCAAAACTGAGTTTCCAACTAAGCAAAAAGGATCACATTCTTACCTATGTTCTTACTCCTAGTAATATCAGTAAGGAAATAACAAATAGAAAACGGAATGCTAATCTGCCGGTTGCACAACTTTCTGGGAGGAAACAACGCAAAAAAAGAAAATTGCGTCTCATGCTCATCGCATGTTGAAACCAGCTACGCAGTGCTGGGGTGTAGTTTCTGTAGATTCTGGTTTCACTGTAGCTATGGTCCTGTAGTAGCTATGCAGAAGTATGAGTTCACATTAGATCATTTCTGACCGTGATTCTGATACGTATACTATTGTACTAATTCTCAACAGTTTGTCCAACTTGTATAGCCCAAGTACAAACAAACAAGCGACCATGGAAGTCACAATCCAAACGTATTTATTTATGCAATCGTAGACTATCGCAGATTTATCAATCGATGTTAACGGCAAGGAGCAGTGTATGGATGTCAGAAAGGTAAGTCGAAGTAGTATAGCCCCCAAAAACTGGAAGTCGTGTTTAAAGACTTCGAGTAATAAGAAACGAGCGCAGACAAATCAATAGATTTGTCCAGACTCTCCTCAATGATATAGTATATTTTGCCTCAAAAATGTGGGTTGGGTCAACAAGAACGTTTTAAATCTATTCCATGACCGTTAACTTTTTGTTACTCAAGATCTAAAACTAAAATAAAATGAGTTACATTCACATACCCAACAATAAAATTCAGCTTCTTAGAAACTGAGCGTCACAGAAAACTAAATTCTTTACTTCATTCAGTTAGTGTTCGAAATTTTATTTTTGTTTTACCGTATAACTAAAACATGTCTATGTTATTGTAAATATACGGATGAATGACCTGTCCCTGCGCACACGGGGTTACTTCAAGTACTTAACGAACTGTTCGGCAAATAAGGTATCGTTTACCTGTAAATGTATAAAATTCTTTCGTGTAATCATATAGTTCTCGAATTTACCCCCAACAATAACATAATGCATAAATTAGTTTAGTAATTGTTTATGACTATAGGTACTTTGTAGCGATATGTTTCCATGTAAGTTCATATTTAGCAGTTAATTTACGTGGGTTCGTTTAAAAATGACATTCTGTAGATTTATTTTCCTACTTTTTATCAGCTCGTTTAGTGGCTAGCAGAAATAGAGGATGACGAAAATGCGCAACATATCCACTTCTGGAAAGTAGAATTAAACACGTGCAAAGATATGAAATTTATGATAAAAACATGTAAAGTGACACGATTAGCTTTAGCTACAGTGGATTACAAGGAAAACGTTCGGTTTTATGCTCGTGAAACACAGTAACTACCGAGTAGGTAAAAGGCTGTAGCGGTTGAATTTCCTCTTGAAAAGCTAAAATTTCTTAAAATTATTCTTGCTGACTGGAAATACTGTCCTAACATTGACCGAGTGGTAGGGTGGAAACTACCTTTGGTCTAAAATTTTTATTAATTGATTGGACTGATACGTTTATTTGAACAGTTACATTTCGTTGGAAGCTAACTAAGTTGAGAATCTATGCACATCTTATCGGTAAATTAAGAGCGATTTTCAGCCAACATATCGAATTACTAATTGTACAGTAAACACTAATCATTGGATTGTGTCAAAACTATGAAGGGGGATATGACAATCCACTACCTCTACTGATTTATAAAAAAACTGAATGTCCGTTTGCTTTGGTATACAGAAAGCAAAGAGATAACTGATTGCAGGTATATTAATACACAAAGATGATTTTTATGAATTACTTTTTCAGAAAATGTCTGTGTGTGCGCTAAGTATTAAGCTTATAAGCGTTATAGCGGATAGTATTTGCGACTAACTGTCTCAGATATTACTCTGTAAATTGTCTTACTTTTAACATTAGTTTACTTATTGTTATGGACTCGTTTTTTATTGTTCGGATGAAATATACAATTTTGCCGGTACAAATCCCATATACCTACAAAGTGTTCTAAACTGTGCGCGGGAAATAGTCATATTTAGCCTCAGCTTATAAGAACAAAAAGCCAAGGAATTTGTGTCGATTTTGGTAATAGAGTCTCTGCAATAGACTCATTTTCCTTTTATGCATTTTTACGGAAGGGATTATTGGAGCTCTCGGTTTCGTTCTTGCTTGAAAACGTCTTGCATCTAACATATATTTCCGGATTTATAAATAATACCTGCTCTTCTACATATATTGGTCATTTCAAAGACGAAGTCTCGAGATATTTGAGATCTAACGTTTTGATGAAATATTTCAACATTCATCACTAAATCGCTTAAAATATAATTATACCGATGAAATTAGCCTAGTATTAGTCTAGAGTTTATGAATTTCTGCAATAAATTTTGCTTTAATTTTGTAAGCCTGTCCCAAATCTTCAAATTTCTTGGCAATATTTCTTGTCCAGTAACAAGTTGTGCACTGTATAACAATTATCGACTATTGCTTTGCGTGCTTGAAGGACCTCTTTGCAGTCTTTGGACGAGGATTTATATATACTTCCCCTATTCCGCTAATTTGACTGTTAATTTACTTTGATCCTTGGAATTGTAACTGTCATATGAGAATTTAGGTTTTGTTTATTTTTAAGGTGTCACGTTTAGGTGTGCCTTCGCAGTCGCTTATCGTTTTATAAGTTTTGGAACAGTTGACAAACGGACATTTTTATTCGTTCGTAATTGCAATTATTGTTTGATTTAAGGCGTAATCGTTACCAAAATGCTTGTTCAATTATTTTGTGGCTGCAAACATCCTGTAGAAACTTTCGTACACTGATTAGTACATTTGATTTTCTCACTTATCTTTGATATGAATTTATTATATCGGCTAAGTTGTATTTCGGACGGGTGTTCCAACTAGATCGGAAGAATTTGATCGGCACGTCTAGTTGTAACTTCACCAGTCAGCTTTTAGTATGTGCTCCATCGATATTATTTAAATTGTTTATTCGGCACTAAATAATTTCTTTCATTTTTATCATCTGACCTTCGGCTTACAACACATCACATATCCATTCATTGTGCCTTACCTTAATCGTTAAGTTCTACAATTGTGGCTCTTCTGTTAGGGTTCGTCCCATATCGTTTATACCGAGGATCATTATTGTTGCGATATTTAACTATATTCCTAACTCTTTTTGAGTAATTTTTATCAGCACTATGTTTTTCATTTCATGCGTCAGAGCGGAAAATATTACTGATTCTATCAACTTGATTTCGACATTGGGCAGATTTTGGCGGTAAAAAGTAGTGCATTCGTTATGTTAGCTTGGACCGAGCCATCACATAAACCACCATGTCTGATTATGGAACCAAAGTATTTAAATGGGTTCACTTCAACATCTCGACTACCGATCAATATCGTTTTGCTTTCGTTTTTTGTTATTATTATTTTAATTTCTTGAGCGGATATGTTCATACCAATATTTCTATGGAAGCCTTGGAGTTTGTTTGGGATTTTGACTCTTTTTTGTTTGGGTCGTGATACTGATGTTTCTTTGAGCCTAAAATAGTATACACTGACTCTAGGCCTTAAACATGCGTTTACTCGTTCACTTACGTCTTTAGTTTTGCTGCCATTTAGTGATTTTATCAGAAGAGAACGGCTTTTGTTTGTAACATTTGTTTGAGTTACCTTAGGTTTTGAGTTAATTTGGTTTTTATCATGCTTTTTTAAAATGGTACAATTGGTTATTTCCTAAACACAAACCCTGCCTTCTGATAATACTTTCTTGATTAAGCTCGACAACTGTTTTAGTTAAAAGATTTTCATAGAAATATTTTAGAAACACGTCACTGAGTTTGTATTTTGTCTCATGTCTCATAAAAGAAGTGTTTCTTGATCATATGTTGGCTTTGATTACCTCGAAGGTTTTTAAAAATTTCACACTGTGACTGTGTTAGCTTATGCAATGTCTGTAATGGTTCTGTCGAAGATAAAATGCAGCCAAATTTGAAAAGAGGTTTATGCTTCTTGGCAACATCGAAAATATGTCGTTGTCTCTGTCGTCAAACTATGTTTGTCTCAACAGCATGTATGACAAATCTATTTGCTTAATTTTGTGGGCTGTACTTGCGAAATTTGTACAAATATCGTGCATCACTATTTACGAATCACTGAAAACTACTCTCAATATTTTCAGTTACGTTTTCAGTCAAAGATTAATGGTTTTATGATAAGGTATCAGTTGAAACACATCTGCAGAACAAGGAACAAGGTGTTGCTGTAAAAGGTCATGAGGTCAAAAATATGGAACTTAGCGAAACGCCTAAACTTGCAGAGTTTAAGAGATAGCTGTTAAAGAGGAAAAGTTACAAGAATTTTAGCACTTTAACTGGAAGTTTAGCTAAAGTAAACAAAACAGGCCACTGTTGTGCAACACAACAACGTATGTCGATTTGTTAGACAAAAGCAGGATAAAACATATTTGAAAACATTTGATGGTGTATGGAGTGATTAAACGCAAACATTACATGTGTTTTTATATTGCTTGTAGTGGTTGATCATGACTTTCTAAGTTGGCTAAAACTAGTGCTATAAGATTTTACCAGATATGATTCAGAAAAGATAACCATAACGGAGTAATTTATTATCTATTTTACGGATAGTATGATGTACTTATCAACTATCTTGGTTGTGTCTATGGTTAAATAACAATTGAATACTTGTTATTCTCATTTTCCGTGTTCCTCACTAATTGTTTTACTGTCGGCTCATCCTTTAATATGTTGTTAAAAGTTTTGTTTATGTTGTCAGTTATTCTTACAGTATATAGCCAAGCCAGAATATTAACTTTTCTTACTTGCCAGTGGGAGGTTGCTCGTGAGATCCAACCATAAGATAAGAGAACAGTGGTACTAATCTAGTCCAAGTATTGATTAGCTCTCTTAGACAATATCAAATGCCAATTATCTTCGACCAAACGACGGCTCGCTAAATGTAAGATAATGGCCGAGATTAACACTACACGAATATTGGTCTAGGATGCAGTTTCTTACTCTCACCCATCCGATAGCTGGAGTAGAAAACAACTTAACAAGCAGATAACGCCTAATTATAAAGTTAGTAACTCATACAACAATATTTAGCAAACCCCTGGTCACATTAACAAAGTTAGGAAATTGAAATATGAGCACGATGCGTCACAAGTGGAAGAGAACTGAATAATTGGTCCGTAATAAATTGACAATAATTTTGGAAAGGTAAAATCCAGTACAATAATTTCTAAGTCAAACAAAAGCTCACGAAGAAAAAAATACAAGAATGTAGTAGTATTTAATGATTATATGACGGAAACATAAATGATAACTTAAAATGAGACCGTTTCAAAAGTTCACCTTTGATTTATATTTGTCACAATATAGTAGTTTCGCTAAATGAATAGGTGCTAACAATTTTTGACGTATAGTAAACACGAGTAGCAGAATGTAACATTTGTCGTCTATAATTAAGTGAAAATAACATGACTTTCTTTCGAAAATAAAAACGCAACTTCTTAAAAGTCCTTGAATAATTGAGATCATTAGACAAGACTTACATTATATTTTCACTTAAAAACACCAACGATTTGTAATGGTAGTGATTACGTTTAAAGCAACAAGAGTTATTTAGTGTCTTTAAGGTTTATAAACGTCGATAATTTTTTAATTTTATACCATTCACATATATCTACCAAGTAAAAGCTTTACTGTGAAAAATGTTTACAGAAAGAATGGAACCGAGCACTGCTGGTTTTACACAGAGACCCGAAAAATACCGTTATCATGGCTGATTTACAAGATACGGAATATGAGACTTTAGACCTACCTGATACAAAAATAATCATTCCATTAAATTCTTTCAAAGTTTGTCGAAAACATATTGTTTCTGGTCACGCATCAATATCTAATGAGAATGGTCATCCTAACCAGAAGCATTCTTTGAGCACTGTTAAAAATGCCATTCCATGTAACCAAATCCATCTAAGTTCGCGATTTTTATTTGGTAAAAAGCAGTTGTGGCTGGGTTTTACATCTCTGTTTGACCAAGATATATGGTATTCATCTTTGAAAACTTTGGTAACAAAGCACAGAAACAAAAAGAATACTTTAAATGGTCCCGATTTACTACGAGCATCTGCATTAAGTTTATCCCAAACATCGGAGTTGGATTTACTTGCTTCAGCCCTGCCAAATATCTTAGATAATGAAATATATGAAAGTGCTTCTGTTCAAGGTAAATGACATGTTTTCAATTCCCTTATATTTTACGAAGACCCGCTTAGCTTCAAAATGAGCGAGGGGCTATTTTGCAATAACTAGCCAGGCGTCTGTTCGTTCTTTAGTTTATAACCTATTACAGGCTTTCAATTTTGAAGAAATGCACTTTATTATGGTCAAATGTGTAAAGTCACAGATAGACTTGAGCGTAATTTTAAGTGAACCATCATTTTCAATTAACAAAACACAACCCATTGTGTTTATTGACTTAGTTTGTAAAATAACATCCATCTGGTCACAAGCTGATTAGTTATCAGTAACGTACATCGCATAAGATCTGAAGATACTTAATTTTAAAAAAATGTCAGCAATTTTTAAGTCGTAATGTCCTAAAACCATAGGCAACTCCTTTCCTCTGTAATGAAGATTTTTTTGTTTGATGATAAATAATACAAGTTTCTGATCATATATGTTGGGTTAATAAGTGTCTTCAATATGTTTCTACAATGCAGTTTCGTTTCATTTTAGATCCCTGCATCAGTTGGTAGCAAGTTTTGGATTGAAGGAAGTGTTTTTTTGCACAATGTTAGGTTAAATATACCCGCTTTGAGGGGATAACTTTTATAAACATTTCATTTAACAGCACTGAACTATGTATTTCATACTTTTCTGTACTAACAAAGTAAATGAACTCATTTTCGTGTAACCCAAGAACACTCATGAACCGGTGGCTTGTTTATTTAATTTTTCTAACTAGGCATAAAATGTTCTTTAAATTCCTACTACCGTTAAACGGTGTTTACAATATGTGAAAAAAGCTTCAGTGAAGTGATTACTTCAATATGACTCAATGTATAACAACGGAGTCTCTTAAAATTAAGTCAATATTCAGGAGTATATTTCTGCGAAATCATTTTAGTTATGCTTTAAGTTCGGATAACAAGAGTTCGTGATGAAAAATATCTGTTTTCTAAATGATAATGAATGAATGATATGTAGGATTTATCTTTTTCAATATATTTCTTTGTATTATTAAAATCACTAATGGCTTTAGTGAACTGATTTTCAAGATATCAGACATTGTGATGCAATGAGTATTGTTAGATTAAAGGAATTTTAACTCGATAATTAACGTTTATAAAGATTAAGGTTTCAGATGTAAATCGTGTATTTCCACTTGTGAATATCTCTAGTGTTTAAAAGATATTTGGAATGATATTAGTGTACGAAAAGTCAATCGTTAAACACATCGGATCCAGAGGGTGGTAGGATTGATTAATGACTAGTGAACTAAAAGGCCTAATCATAATTCATATGTGAACTATTTCTGGTTATTTCTTGTTCATCTATCTGTAACACCAGATACTAAAATATGGAGTGGAACTTAGCCAATGATGAGTCTATAAAAGATGCAAAGAATTTGGATTTCATTACAATTTTAAAATGTGAAGCATAGAGCGGTTTTCTCATGGCAATAAATAATGCATTACTCAACCAGCTGATTTTGAAAATAGTGAATTCAAAATATCTAGGAGACGTTTAGAGTTAAAAATAGTAATAACATTTGATTGTTTACTATGAATTCATTTGTATTTTTATTTTATACTGGCTTTTAGATACATTTTCTGTCTACATAATTCATACAGAAAAATCAAAAGATTTAGGGTTGTCTGGTCGTTACTTACTACGTATAAAAGAAAATGCATTTGAACTACTTGATCCGGACACATATTCAATAGTAAAAGTATGGCCCGTCAAATATGCGCGCAAGTAAGTTCATAAAAATTCACGAGTACGAAAATTATACACGTATATCATTTATTTGAAAAGTATATCACGTATGTTTCTATATGAAGAAAGTTATTGGACTATCATATGCTAATTTAGAAACCCTCATCAACGTACAACTTCTGTATGTCACTTAACTTTGAATCGTTGTTTTCCTACACTAGTTCTCAATCATCATTGATGATGAACAGGAAAGTGGTTTACATTACAAGTCAGCATCGATTTTCTGCCATGTCATTTTATGGAGATTTATAAAAACGTACATTTATAAGTTTGATGTAATAAGTACGAAACACTTACACAATGACAAATTTAGTTAATCCTAAATTTCGAATGAATTTCTCAACCTATGAATGATTTTCAGATACTCTGATGGCTCTAACAGACACTTGAAGTAGCTGAATTAAGTTGTGGTGATTCGAGTTAGGTACGAAACGTCCTGAATATTACGTTTCAAAGACAAGTCACACACTTCCAAGTAGTTAGATCTGTAATGAATCATTTATATGGTACTAACAACACCAATCTGACATTCAATTTTGTCGTATTGGCGTGAATTTTAATTATCATCATCTGCCTATAGCAGTTTAGTGTTTGAAATAACTTTGGTAGGTTAACATCTCATAATCCAGAGATATTATTTCTTCCAGTATAAAATGTCGAGTGAATTATTAAAAAGCTTCCAGATTATCTACATGAAAACTGTTTGTTAATGAAGCAATTATTTTTATTATTTTTCGTATAAGTAACTGGCTGTGGATTTGGTCTTTTTTCAAATGTCAATTCAAAACTATGACTTTGAATAAAGTTAATACTATTATTGCAGAATGTTTTTATTTGTACATAATTAAGTCCATGTTCAGAATAAATATCTCATCAATTTTATGCATTATACCATGTATTTTATAATCCTGATCAAACGGTAAATACCGTAGATTCTTTACTTTTATCCACCGCCAAATGGTCTTCTGGTGATTGTTGTTTAGTTGCAAGAACTTTAAACGGCGTATTATTTATCAAATATGAAAAAAATTCAACACATAAAACTACGGTTAGTAATTTTTTCACTTGATATTATATTTACAATTTACGCATTATTTAAGATGCTATTGATGAACGATGTCATTAGTATCTCCACACACAGAAAACTTTCCTGTTCATGGAGAATGAAGATGGTTGATCAAATGTGAAAAGACAATTTACCTGACTCCAAAGAAAATACGTTTGCCCGTTCTAGATCAAGGTAGTTAAACCACATACACTACCATTCGGAAATGTTTTCTAGGTTTTAAAGGACAGGTTTAAAATAATAAAACAGCCAAAAACGTAAATATTTCAAGAACTACATTATGAATAACAAACAACTTAAAGTTATGCGTATTATTTAAGATAAACTCACGTGATGGATGCTCTCCAACAGCACAATGTTTAATAAAAAAATATATATTTCCTTAAAAATTAGTAAACACAAACCTCTGAGTGATGAGGTTTGTAAAGTTGCGTGAGGAATTTTCCAATTAATAAAACACTTACTCACTTACTTACTCCTGTTACACCTCGTGATGAAGCAGAGGTTGCCCACCAGTATTCTCCATCCAACTCTGTCCTGGTCTATCCTTTCAAGTCGTTTCCAGATGTCATTCATTCATTTAGTGTCTGCTTCCAATTCCCGATCCAATGTGTTCTTTGATCTGTTTCTTCCCTTTTTGAATTCAAGATTCCGTGTTAGGGCTTGTCTAGTGATGCAGCTTGTTGATTTCCACAGTGTACGCCCTATCCACCTCAGATGTCTTTTCCTAATTTCCTCTTCAATTGGGAGTTGGTTTGTTCCCTGTCATAGCAGTTTGCTGTCGACGCTGTCCGGTGGATGGATATCGAGTATCTTGCACAAAAGACTGTTTATAAATACTCGTACCTTTCCCATGATGATAGTGGTAGTTCTTCAAGTTTCAACTCCGTACAGTGGAACTGTCTTGATGTTTGTATTGAAGATTGTGACTTTGATATTGGTTGACAGTTGCTATGAGTTCCATATGTGGTTCAACTGTAGGAATGTTGTCCATGCTCTTTCAATCCTTGCATTTATGTTTGCATCAGATGTTCCTCGATGATAGTGACCAGGTACGTAAAAGTTTACATCTCTCTCAGAGCTTCTGCATCAAGTCGATTGGGTTGGTGTTCTCTGTGTTGCATTTAAAGATATTGCTTTTCCTCTTGTGTATGTGGAGGCCTACTGCTGCAGAGGCTGCTACTATACTAGTTGTCTTGATCTAAATTTGTTGATGTGTATGGGATAGAAGGTCCAGGTCATATACGAAGTAAGAAAAATAAGACTGGTGTTAATAGAGATTTATTAACTCCGAAAACACGACGACGACCCTAGTCGAAAATACACTCACCTATAAATTGATTGTACACTCATTTCGACTATTAACTAGAATAAAATGACATATATGAAAAATACCTAGAGTTATAACAAATAACCTGATGTATGTCATGCTGAGCAAAGTTCATATTAATTTAATAAAAGAATATCGTATGTTATACCGAATAAAATATGACACTGGGAAACAAAACCAACACAACACTGAGTAATTATCATATTGAATTAAAATGCAAATAATCCTGAACAAAGATCACAATGAGTAAAAGATTGTAATTTTACCTTTTCATCTCGTCATAGCACTCTCACGTTTTCGATTGACCTTCTGAATTTTCTATGGATGCAAATATGATCAATCTGGTTCTCTGTAGTATGATCCAGTGAGACCCATGTAGCTTTGTGTATGCGTTTGTAGGGGAATATTGTGCCACCTGCAACCATTTTGTAGAATTCACATAAATTTGCAAACCTATCACCATTCTCATTCCTTTCTCTCAATCAGTCGATGTCGTCCCATGATATCTTCGTATCCAGTGTTATCCTTCCACACTTTGAATTTTTGGTCTCCCATGAAAATGGTCAGGTCCTTTCAGTGAAAGAGTTAATTAACAATTATTAAGTTCTTAATTCAGTGTTCCTGGTATATGTTTATCATTCTGATTAGCTGGTTACTCATCAGTGAAGTAAATTTATCTACGGTTAGTAAGAAATTGCTGAAATGAAATAATTCCATGCTGTCATCCTTACGTTATTTTACTCGTAGCACACGAGTTCACTGTAAAAAGTAGAGGGTACACAATTGAACCTCTTACGATAATTAATTGAATCTACAAACTACTGAACATTCCATCCATTCAACTTCTCATTCAGCGGTCGGAGTTCCTCTCAGAATTAGCATGTTAGAAATAAGATTTTTAACCTCCGAAGTAAAATACAAGTTGACGCATCTTAAATCTAACCAGACTCAATATATATAATCCTATTAAAGGACAGATAGATTGAAATACCTTACTTGAAATCTCATAAATAAGTTGCAAGTGATGTATATATAATGTTCATGAAATGGTTTACCAAAAACTCTCTTTTTGTACCGTTAGGTACATTTAAACCAATCATTTTGCCATTCATTTATTTTCATTTTATGTTTAAGTGTAATAGTTTTCGATTAGCCTTTTTACTCATTTATATTATATTCAGGAACAGAATTTAGCTAGTCGTAGTTCAAATAAAAAAAAAAGATCATTTTCATTTTATTGTCTTGAGTTTATCATTTTATTTTTCATTTTGGGTAAACTGAAGTAATATTACTTCGAATAAACTTCAAAATCTAACCTCAAGTTATGTGAATTTCTTTAGCTGAGAGAATAAGCCATTTACATGAACAAAGAATACATATTATCATAATAGTTTTATTTGTTCCTATATGAAGGACGAAACAGCCGTTCAGCGCTTCCAGGTTTTCCATGGTCGTCTAACTTCAATTGACTCATGATCTCAACTATTAAAATTACTATAATATCCACGAAACCCCTTTCTAGTATTAATCAACATATGCTCACTAGTGACTAGCTTCAAGAGGTATTTCCTGGAGTTCTAGTGAGAAGCAGTGACCAGTGGAGTTCTACCTGTTCTGTTGTGAGTTTGTTACACTGAAGACAACTGTGGATGTGTCTCTCAATTTCGTGGATTAGTTGAAGTTAGACATTAACACCGTTGGATAACGGCTCACTGGTCCAGTGATTAAGTGTCCGCGCGCGAGACCGATAGATCTTGGGTTCGAATCGCGCGAGGCGGGATCTCAGATGCGCACTGATGAGGAGTCCCAAAATAGGACGAAACGACCATCTAGTGCTTACAGGTTTTCCATGGTGGCCTAACTTCAATTGACTCATGATCTCAACTACTAAAATTACTATATAAATGTTGCCAACACCTATGGTGTTTGAATTATGTTAAATCGACAGCAGTTGCTTATCACTAGAGTGTTCTTCATTTTTTTATTAACCCTAATTATGTACACCCTTCTGTTCTGCAGCTCACCAAATAATTATCGTTAGACTTATTTATATAATTATCCTTTTTATTTTATGTGAGTCATTATTTATATCTGTCTACCATTTGAAAACACACGTAAATAATAATGAAGCTTTTATTTATCGATCTGGCCCTATTATGTAACATAAATTAACTGTTTTGTACACAGATATGTAATTGGGTATGTCGACGTTAGTGTGTCACTTTCTTCATACATAATTAGAGAGTCACTTACATGTAACTGAAATATTTATACAATGTACACATACAAAATTATCTATAAATCTATTCATTTCTTCTATATTCTGCTCATGATTTTTTCTCGTAATATGTTTCATATTGAAATAACCATTGATAGAATGAAAACTATTGGTAGCAACATAATTCAAAGTAAGGTAATGTTTTATACAAACATAGATCGTATCTAATAACAGAATTAGGAATTTAAAATTAATCTTGTTTAATTCGTCATTTGGGTTTACCTCCGTCTTTGCGAAGTGTTATTTTCCAAGGGATTAAAGCTCAGTCTTTTTAAGAGTTTGAGCTCTAGTGTTTGGGTTGACTAGTTATCAACATGGACTAGAATACAATATATGTAGTTGGAGAAAACCAAAATTTAGAATATATAGTTATCATTTTCGGGAGATTGTTTGATAACGCTACTTGATAAATTTGACTTTAGTACACATACTTAGTAGCGAGATGGCTTTGATAAACTAACTTTATTTTCTAATATGAAAGCAAATAAATCTAATATAAATAATATAAACAACTTCTGTCAATGTGGTAGGGTGGTTTAATGAAATGTTTTTTGTAATGTATAGTTTAAAAAACTAACACGGTATCACCTTGGCATTTATTTCTAGTGGCCATATCTTTGGTCCATATCTCTCATGTTTTGTCGAAAAATTGAAATCCAGGAAGACTTTGTTAAGTGCATTAGACAACTGTTCACATGACTTACAATGTTCTCAAAATAAGAATCTCATCAATTTTTCTTGTGTAGTTTCATTCTACTCATCGAAAATTGTGGTTTGTTTGAATCTTGCAACAAGTATGGCAACGAGAACTGATAGTTTTAGAATATTGAAAGTTAAATCGTTTACTTATCACGAAACTGAGATTATCTAAATTTAACAATGGAATCACTCAGCTTCGTTATTTTATATATTTGAGGTCATGCTTTTAATCGTACTGCTTTCCAAACTAAGATTCTCTAAGATAACTTTGTAAGAAAACTTGTCAAATGTCTGAAAAAATGAGAATATTTCATAAAATATTCTTTGTTAAAGGGCCAGTTGAAATTTTTAAGATTGTATTGAAGATGCAAGTTTGTTCGTGGAAATCTCAGGAAATCATCTAACAATAGTACTGAAATCTGTTACATTGCATTGCTGTTTTAGAATAAATTATGTATTATTAATATTGTAACTATACAATCGTTCTCATTTTATTGTTATAAGTACTCTGAGGAGTCACTATCTGGTTAATAAAAATTCCCAGTTTCTAGGCAGAAATTCTGAAACGATTATTGTTTCACTGTGATAAATAAAATAATTGTAAAATGAGCCTTTAACAACCTCTTGTTTAATATATTTTGTATTGTTAGCTGCATGCTTTCGAACTTAATTACAAGCAGTTTAACTTTCATGTCGTATGAAAAAAGTTGTATAACACTGGTAAATAAAGAATGATATCACATTTCATTAGGTGTCTCACAAAGTAGATTATTACATCCGGTTTGATCGTTGTAAAGCTATGACTTTCCGAGTACCAAACAGTACGTTTTTATCATACATCTGTTCATTCTAAAATTAATGCACCCCTGTAAAGTTGTTAGTGATGAGGAAATTTTGGAATGTAGGTAAAATTCAAAACACCTATAAGAGTTAGTCATATCTGTTTAAAAATTAGCGCACTACTATTAATGCTAAGCGACTGGGAGGTTTAGCTTTATCTTTACAATCTTTACACGCTTGGCGGTGTATATAAAGAGTAGATCATAGAAGATATATATGTCTTCATTATTATTCACATCAGTGTGTCACTTGTATTGCTCAGTTATTCGTGAAATTAACTGTTTGATTCAAAAGTTAACTATGTAATGTATATAGAAGAAGAATATTTTAAATATATTTGATTGACACAACCATACCAAATGCCTGTCTGTCTTCCTCATTTGTGAGTCATTAAAAAAACTAGTTTGAGAGATTCTTCTTTCATTATTCACTTTTTTAGAACTTGAAAGTTTATTTTTACCTATACATTTTCGTGCCTTCGTTGCAAGCTTCATCACAACCATCATCTGTTAACTGTCATAAAAAATAAATGTAAATGAATCCAAACAGGAATGGATGATGGCTATCACTGTAAACTGGGACGTGTGTCCCGTCTTATTTGAGACTCATTAGCTCGATATACATGCATCCTAGAGTTCATAATTACTTCAGAATTAAAAATGTAAATGTGTATTAGAGCTCAGTTTATATTCTTCCATTTCACTTCAATCAATCTATAATATATTTTGGTACTAGAGAGTGCTTAGATTGTAAATCCATGTCAAATTAAGATTGAACATGTAGTTTTTTATTCCTTTTATTAGCTATGAACTTCTAGAACAGTAGTAATAGTAGATCAATGTAAATTGTTAAAATCCTGGTAACCATCAGTGTATCAAGTCTAGGATTTTTAAATACTTTTAATAGGTTCAAAGATTGAATATCGTTAAAATAGTTTTTTAAAACTCCTCATTTGTAACTGAAAAACCCATCGACACTAGCTTAAGCGTAGTTATGAAGATTTCACGTTCAAAGTTTTCAACCTATTACATTCCCATCCTCGATATACTGCTCTAATTTTACCAGCAGAATTATTAATGCAACTTTGGTTTAATATTTATTGTGGCAGTCAACATATACGGAAATTATTACCAGTAACTGACCACTCATATTGATCCAAATATTAAAGGCATTAGTGACTAATTTCCTTGTGTTTATTCTCCACTAGAAATCATCCACACAAAGGTGACCATAAAATGCCATTTATGCATTATTTACCATTTAGTGATATAGAATTGTTAAAAAAGGAAAATTTTCATTATTAGTGAAGCTGAACTAGCTAGTCTATTGACACAGGTTTGAACATAATTCTAGTTAACTATTTAAAATGTAACATAATACTTTCTATTTCGAAATACCATTTAAACAGACATTTTACTGTAATTTTATGTGCTGACCTATCCATATTGCATCTCTGTGACAAATTAAAAAAGCATTTATTACAAGTGTTGATATTCCTTCTATAGGCAATATGACTAATTAAAAGTAAACTCTAACAATCAAATTTGTGTTTAATATTCACAGAGTTTTAGTTTTAAATTTTACGACAGTTCAACCTTTCTTAAAGTAGAAAGTAAAACTTATATTTGATCTTAATTTCTTATAAAAACATTCTGAATTTATGTAGATTCGGTGTGTATACCAAACGTTTTTATTTAATAACTGGAAGTGGATGTGAAGATGGTCGCGGATTGTTCATCTTTCTAATAGAACATGCTGATAAATTCCAATCAAGACTATTTCGTCAAATGAAACAATTAACTATGCAGTCTCAGTTATCTAGACGCGTTACCGACTCTAGCAAATGGATAATAGATCAAGAGATTAAAAAGGAATCTAGTGAATTTCACTTAGATGAAACAAATCATTGTTGGTTTTCGTCAGAGCCTAGAAAAAAGAAAAATATTCTAACGTCTCTCAACTCAATTGATCCGTTGTCGAAAACTAAACCACGTTCCAACTCTGTTAATGAATTTCTATTACAAAATATAGAATCAAATAATTTACATCAAAGGCAAAATTCTTCAAATATGTTACCAAAAGAAATCTCTGTCTCATTAGCTTATGATAGCGATGCAAAATCTTCATCATCATCATGGATATTTCCAGAGGAAAACTTCATAATAACGTCTGGTAAATGTTTTGCTGAACGTTCATGTCAAACTATATTTGAAGTAAATACAGCAGAGCAGTTAAAACATTCTAGTAATGTTAATTCACCACGAGTAAATGTAGTAAAACAACAAATACAAGAAAAAACCATGATTCATAATGATTATAGTTCTCAAGAAACATTCATTTCAGAAACACTGTGCGAACGTGAAGATGATAATGTTTTTCTAGAAAAAGAAGAGGAAGAAGATAATTTAAGCGAAGCTTCACAACCCGTTTATGCTAATGCTGAACAAATCACCAATACGATGTTCAACACAAAATATTCCAATAATCATAATCAAAAATTACTAACAAATAGTGGAAGCAATGAGGATGAAACAACAGTGACATCATGGTATGTTTAACGTATTCTGGTATAAATTTGTTTTTCATCGTTAGATTTTAGCTGATCAAAAAACTGTTATAGCTATTGATTTCACTGTACTGTCTACTTTAGAAGTCAGCTGTCATTATTACAAAATTTTCCTGAGACTATAACCAAGAATCTTTGTTCAGGAAATTAACATCTAGTTTACGCGCATAAAGTAGAGATAAATTTTAAGAACGGAGATATAAATGATGTCACAAAGTAATTTTAGTTTTAAAAATACTCATTTAAAAAAAAACAAAGTAAGATTCTATTGGTATACGTTGATGGACACGCACGTCACCAAAGATCCATTGCTTTTAGAATATAAAATACAGTCTAACAGACTTTTAATTACAATCAGGACCATCCACCATAGAATCAATAGTTGTAATAAATGTGTCAAAAAACTAGCAAAATCATTACTTTTGAAGTGAAGTCAAATTATAGATTTTGTCATAAATATTATTTATTTGAAAACATTTATATAGTAATAAATTGCTATTCTAGAGTATGTTAAAATCCACACTTTGCGTGTTATGAGTTTGTGTAATGGTAAACTCGGTTTAACAATTGGATTGAGATTGGTCGTGAAAAGAACAGTCTTCTGTTTTGTTTGTTTATCATACAAGACCCATGAAAACATTCATAATCCCTCAAAGATGAATGAACACATTAGTAGAGCTGAATGATTAAACCGTCCAAATCAACAGAACTAAACAGAATTGGACTATACACTTGATTTTAGTTTTTCCATCACAAAGATTTTATTTTTTGTATATATTATAGCTGTACTGATCCAGTAATTTTTGACAAAGTATTTCAATCCTCAACATGGCATTCTTTATTTTCAAAACGAAATACTTTTTATTTTCCTGATAGTCATCTTGAGTCAGACACCCAGATATCTATATTATTAAAAGGGCTACTTACACTTTATTTTGGCCAAAAAATGAGTATTAACAGTATCTTCGCTAGCTTTCTTTAGTCCGTTGTCATGGTTTTTTTACCTATCATTACCAATATACAAAATGTTTTTGAACCCTATGATTTTATTCACTGTCAACTTTTTAATGGTTAGCATTTACTTGTAACATTATGTGAAATCGAATAAACTATTTTATGCAAATTAGACTAGTAATAAATTGCACGAATAAATCTTAAAACATAAAGTGAATATTGATTAGGGTATTCACAAGTGGAAAAAATCTAGTCGTATTTTTACTTTGTAATTTGAGCCTTTTGTTTAACTTCAGTAGTTAAAAGGGGGGACTGATTTATTTAGAATGGTTGATTGAAGCTTACGTTCTATCTTCATATTGCATACTTATAGAAACGTACAACTAAATCCCTATATTAACTAAATCTATTGGTTATTTATGCATTTTGTAGTTAATTATTTATTCATTCGTTTCTTTCCATTATTCTTAGTATTTAGTCACTGACGATGATTCAGTATCTAAGTTTTAGTAAATACTGGAACACAGATGACTTAGTTTTATTCACAAAATATTACTCTTAAGTTCATAGTTTGACTGATATTGTTTGCTAGTGAAACGTTTGTTGTTCACTTGACCAGTACAACATCAAATTAGTTCAGCTTTGATAGTATTGAATACTCTTGCCGTTTAATGTCTCTACTAGTTTTTAACCAACAGACTTAAAAAATGCAACAGCACAAATGGAAACATTAGTTATAAGTAATGAAATTCAGTAATACCTAAGACTAAAACCCCTAACACAAATTTGAAACTTGCCATGCTTATTTTGATTTCAGTACGGACTATTTATCAGTGGTTTATTTCGGCAGATTCATTAATCGTACTGAAAATTACTACTTAGTTTCTGAGAGATACTTACCTTTCTATCAAATTAATGTCAGCTAAAGGCTGGAAACAAATTTCCTGTCTTTTTACTTTAATGGTAACTATGTAGTTCTATTGTGACCGATAGGTTGTTAGACAGTGGTGTTCCAATGATTCAGAAATCAGTAAAGATCATAGAGTACATCTGCTCCTCCGTTTTTCAATAGGCTAAAGTAAAAAATAATGTTCTACTGAATTTTATTTGAAAATATGTGTGGAAAGTTTAGTACAGTACTTATCGTAGTAACTTAGTAGTCACAATGTGATTTTCATGTTAATATCATGATCTTTAATCCTTTTGAGGGTATAATTTATTTTATTTTTAGTGTTGAATATTCATCGTTTGCACATACTATAAGTCTACAAGGTTATCATTTATTTATTTATTTATTTAGAACAACAAATGAATAAAGTTGAATGGTTTCATAAATTTAATAATGGTGTGGAGATAAATGGTTAGAGTTTGGTTTTAAAAATGGCAGGTTTAATTATTCAAGTACGAGAAATGAGGAAAATTAGTGTTTAAGTTCTTTTAAATAAAATTATTCGGCTTTTATGAACGTAATTGAGTCGCGCAGACTATAGACCTCTGCTATGATCTGACTGATTAATTTAAAAATCCTTTGTGGTCTACAAATTTAGATCGGTGTTCCTCGCATCTCTGCTGCTTATTTATAATGAATCGCTTATCAGTACAGTTGATTTATAGCTTCACAAGTTATGTAACAGTATGTTGTTAGTTACTGACACTTTTATATCGCCAATTCCACTTGATGATGGTAATGACTACAAACAAAAATCAGATTGAAATGGTTACAGAGAAGTTTGAAATTACAATAAAGTGTTTGAAATATCCAACGTATCAGTAACTTTCGAAAACAGTTTGAAATGATCTATACACTATGCAGGTGATTTTATTTATGTTTCTAGTCGTTCTAAATATGATTCCAAATTTTTATTAACTTCTCAATCCTGTTGAAAAAGTCTTTAGCCATGGAAATCTATGTAGTTCCGCAAAGACACTTAGTAGTCCAACGCCTAGGATTTTAACTAAAAACTATGTGTAAACAATAGTTTAGGTGTAAATGCACAACTTTTAATCGAATATGGTTTCAAATTAGACTTATTTAAATGTGTCGGCTGGTCAGTGAACTTAGATTTCTTAAGACTTTTTTAACATTTACAGGAACTTTTCTAGGCTAAAAAAACTTTTCTTTCCCAAATTGGTCGACGTTTACATATTTAAAATTTGATGCGAAATGGAATAAGTCCCGGCATCATACATTCAGAATACTTCTTTATCCAAATACATCGTTTTTATAAATTGAAAGGTTGTCATCAAAATGGGTTCTACGCCACCTTTGGATGCTTACTAATATCTTTTTTGCTCTATAATATTTGGTAAACGCAAACATTACAAATCTACTTTGCTTTCTATACATTTGAGATTTTTTTACAATCAGCGACGTATTATTATAGACTGTGTCCTTTTCTTTGGTTCACTTTTTCATTTTTATCAAGTTATTGAATGAGAGGATACTTGAGAAACGGATATTGGAGAACTTCAGAAATTGGTTGAAATTATCATAATGAACAATCTATTTAATTTCAGGTTATCATAGAAAATTCATTTTTAGATATATGAGAATGCTCTCCAATTTTACCATACTTATAAACTTTGAATTACATTATTTAAACAGAACGTTTGTTTCAACATGTGTCATACGAGTAAACTAAACTTAAAAATAAAGCTGTTCATTGATTTGTAGTTAATGATGTGAAAATAATTCAATTAAGAATGCTTTATGCATTTGTTGTCCGAGGTTCAGTAGAGAAATCAATGAATATATGAAGTGGCCGTGCAAATTAGTAATTTGTCATTCACAAATTCGTGTGGGTTAGTTGTTGGCCGAAAATAATACTTGAGTATTTCGAATAAATAATTTAGACATTTCGTTATGCACCATTAATGATATCTCTAGGAGCTATAGGAAGTTTAACAAGTTTATAAAAACTCTGCAGTATTTAAACCTATGCTGGTAATCAAATTGAAGGTAAATCTAACCCCTGGATTGTGTCTAATTCTCAATATGTATCAGGTGAAGAGGATGATAATCAAAGAGCAGGCTTGCAGATTCCTTTTAAAAGTTTAATTTTTAGAATAAAAATAGTGAATGTGCGATAGAAAAGAGGAATATTTATATCTGACGGAATAATAAAACAGAATATGAAAATTCGAATTCTATCACAAGCTAATGAGTTATAGATCACAACAACAGGGCTAGGAAAAACGTGATTGGTAAAATATTTATATAGAGAACTGGACAATCTTTTCTAGTGAGCAAACAAACCTCATATAAATAAGATCGAGCACAATAACGGGTTAAAGGAAATGTGGTGAAAGACATAAGAACTACACTAAGAAATAATTTAGTCATATAAAATAAGGTTTCGAGCAGAACTATTGACTAATCAACATTTACTTAACTGTAAGACAAAATAGAGTTGAAAATACTATAATCCAATTTATTAAAATTACATTAAGTAAGATACTTACTTACGCCTGTTACTCCTAATGGAACATAGGCCGCAGACCAGCATTCTGCAACCCACTCTGTCCTCCGCCTTCTTTTCTAGTTCCATCCAATTCTTGTTCATGTTTCTCATGTCTATCTCCATTTCCCGGCGTAATGTGTTCTTTGGTCTTCCTCTTTTCCTTTGGCCTTGAGGATTCCATGTGAGGGCTTGTCTTGTGACGCAGTTCGGTGCTTTCCTCAATGTGTGTCCTATCCACTTCCGGCGCTTCTTCCTGATTTCTTCCTCCACTGGGATCTGGTTTGTTCTCTCCCACAGTTGGTTGTTACTATTAGTGGATCCGAAGTATTTTACGTAGACAACTGTTAATAAACTCCTGTATTTTCTGGATGATGGCATGAATAACACCACCCACAGTAAAAAGTAATCATCGTTTACATTTAACGATAATATGGCTAACTTAATGAAACGTTTTTTGAAATTTCAGCGTAAAACAAGATTTTGTATTTGCTGTAGATGACTATTTACTTATTCGAAACTCTAATATTAACTGATACATTTTGAATGTTTTCAAAGTATAATTATCAAAAACAGCATCTTACAGCTAATCTAAGATGCGTAAAAAGAACAAAATGATACAAAACATCTTACAGTCATACAAGGTTTCAGAAGAAAATTAGGCTTATTTAACCTTCTGAAATGGCAAGAAACACCCTTTCAGATTAACTTAACTCAGTAAATTTAATATATTCTACATCAGGTTATTAAAACTAGGCGGAATTTTAACAATTGTTGATTGTTGCGATCTATTTCTTATTTTACGTATAGATAAAACATTCTTATCCATTTAATTTACATTTATATAAAACCTTATTTCCTTCTTTATTTCTACACTTGTTTAAAGCTCAATGAATGTGAACTCACCAGTGTCAGCAATAAGCGATACACCATCTCTGTTAACGTCGTCATCATCTACTTTAATAAATAAACCAGTTAATACTTCGTGTTCATATACAAAAAATTGGAAACTTGGTTACTTAATTGAACCAATAATGGAAAGAGAAGAACAAAACTCACATAACTCATCTATATCCGTTGGTAATGAAGAATGTAATACAGCTTATAAAGAAGAATGTGATGGTTTAGTCACTTCATCAACACCAGATAATGATATAGATATAAAAAAGATTAGCAATACTTGTCTTAGTAAATCACCGGCTGATGAATTAGAAAATACAGATGACGAAAACGATTCGGTTTGTGAAAATGTTCAGTTAACAAAAGAATTTCAAAACATTTTAGAAGACGTAAAATTTTATCGATTGGTTTCAAGATCAGCTACTTGGGATGGATGGATGAAATTGAAGACAAATACAAAACAAGAAGTTACGTCACAGAAAGTTATTGTACAAACAGATAACAACATTGAAAATGACAATATTACTACAATTATTACTAATACTAACGATCATCACGACAGCCCTAAAATGAAAGATAATTCACATGTTGTTGTGATGACAGCATTTTGAATTGAATAACGGTGGTGTAATTGGTAATGAGTAAACTAACAGTTATTTTCTTATTAATTTTACCCATCAACTATATGTTGTTCATTATAAAAACATACTTATGAAATGGAAGATTTTTCATTTCATTGTAGGTACTCTCATGTGATTAACAGTTGTATACAAAACGAAAATATTTTCCTGGGAATTCATTAGTGTATGGTTTGATTTATTTAAAAACACCTAAATTTTGTTGCGCACAAGATTATGAAATTAATGATAAATTCAATGAAAGCTTGTTAATATGATTAGGATTTATTAAATGCAAAGTTATAATGATCAAAACCAAGTTATAATACATATTTCATAACATTTTTATAACAGAATATGAAATGAGACTCTAGATTCAATGTAATATCTTCAATCGTGATCATTTTTTTGTCAATCAGAATTAATTCAATGCTTTCTATGGAGTATAATGCTTTTCCATTTTATCTTGTTTTGATTCCGTAGACAACTATTAGGTTCTGTTTTTTATCTTTCCAAATAACTTCGTTCAGTTAATAACTTTTAGATAAAGCAGTTTTTGAATTCCAGATATACCAATTGTTAAAATATGAAAAACAGATAGTTATTTGGTAGTGTAACTGCACTAAGAAATAGAGTAAAACTGGGAGTTATGAGTTAAAGATAAACAAAGGCATCATAGAAAGTTTTAAATTGTGTGTAGGGAAGAAAGGAAAATACATGCAACATGCATGTCTACGTCACTGTATTTCTTTTATCTAGAGTTCAGAAGTAAAGAAATCAAATATGAACAAGTTATTTTCTATTTTTTGAAGTTCAGAATTTATGACAAAAATTTCAAACCCGATGTGGATTTTAAATTAAAATACCTCCCTTAAATGTAGATTCCACTTCACTCATCATCTTAAAATGTGACGATTTTGGTCAGTTGTTTCACAAGCAGAACATAGCCGTTTCCTATTCAGTTAATTACATAGTACCTATTTTATACTTCTTTGTATTATTATTATCTTGGAAAACGGATATTGAATATTTCACGTCAATTATGTGTGAACTATCTTTTTCATCATATGATTATCTTATGTATTTTCTAATTTACGTTTAAGAAGCTTATAAGTAGTCAGAAAATCCTTTCAACCCCCAGTTTAACCTGTAGTTCAATTCTGGACCATATAAACTGACTGAAGCACAGTTGAAACTTGACGAGAAGGCAAAACATAAGTACAGGTTTCAAGGTTTTCAAAGCTTTGGAAATCTAACTACAGTCATACACCTCGCTATGAACTTTAAATTTATATTTTTAACTACTTGCTAGTAACATGTCACATTGGTTAGAATTTCCAGCTCGATTTAAAGATAATGGGTAAAAGTTTTTTAAACATCTTGATATTACTTTTAAAGATATGAATTTATTCTAAGTAAAAACTTAGTGAATTAACTGCCAACATTCTGTTCACGTAAATGTTTTGATGTTCCGTTTATGTATTCTAATACATCATAGTCATAAATAACATTTACTCCAAAGCAATATAGATGTATATATATACAAGTTTAAAGCAAATTTTACTAAATACTGAAATATACAGTAAGTAGTAATTTTTTTATGAAATAAAATCAGAGGTTTCAACATAATTCATATTGAGATATTTCATTAGATTTCAAAATCACTGGTTTTTGTGTACGTTAGCTAATATTGCAGAAATGTAATCTGATTATGACAGATAAGTACTCGTTAATAAACAGATGAAATAATTTTTGAAAAAATTCAGTTTATATCAGCCATCTAATAGTTTCATTATATTTTAGTTTCATTCGCACATTTGAAATAAAGTACTTCGTGAGAATATTGACAGTAAAGAAATTATTTCGAACCTTTTGTTTCTACTTATCACTGTTGAAACAGTTTAAACAATTACAGATTGAAAAGTTGACAATCTTTTACTAACAATAACTATGTCTTTTTATATTTTTTAAACCAAAGGAGAAAGATTCAAGATTCAAAAAAGATGAGGTTCAGGTACTTACTATCTCACATATATATGTGGTAGAACTATATTCACAAATTATTTATAGGGTTTCCCTAAGGATATAATGAGAAAAGTGTGGTCCCATTTAGCTAAAGAAAATAAAAATGCTTTTGAATGACCGTTAAAAAAATTAACGATCGTCACTGTCTTAAATAATTTGTACATTATCTGAAGTATTTCCGCCTGAATCTCTGTCCCAAACGTACCAACAATACTACACTAATTGTTTTTTTACTGATATATTTAACCGTACCTTTATCTGGACTGAAGTGTGCGTTTTCTCAGAAATGTTATGTTTTGTGGTATCTAACGTTATTTTCAAATGACAATAGATTAAGATTTTAGTCTTTTATGAGACTAGATCAACGCAAGGTAGATAAATCAAATAACCAATACACTGCATTACTTCAAAGTTAATCATTTACCCACAAAAAAAAGAGACAGAATACTATAAATTCAGGAAATCTTTGTTATTTTCTACAGAAGGCGAAATGTAATACAATCGTTCTATTTATATAGCACTAACAGAAAACTTAGAGATATGTAAAAAAATGAGGAATTTGAGGAGGAAACAACTAATCAGATAGTTGCAAAGTTAGAAGATAATTAACTAACATATTGACGAAATTGCACAAAAAAATTCCTGTTTCATAACCGTATAATTTGCTCCATATATGACCAGTATATTTCAGGGGTAACTCAAAATAACCAGTCACACTGATATATTTTCGAAATGGAAAATTCATTTTATCATTAAATAAAACATGGGTTACATAATTTTGTGAGTGAAGCCTAAAGGTCGTGAATAAAATCAATTATATAACAATGTACTACTTGCGAGTAGAATACTATAATTATCTATAAATTGCTAGGTCGATCGTATATTTCATTGGGCAGGAAGTGTGTTATTTAGAGATCTATATGAAGCTTATTTCAAACAGAAAAATAGTACTAAAAATGCTATTCAATAACTTAACTTTTTGGAAAAATTAAAATATCGGGAATTAGTCATTTGGTTATCAGTGATTAATGAAGTTCAGGAAACTCTCGAAAAATTTAGCTACATCTAATTAGTAAGATCAAGAAAACCATTGGTTCTTCAGTTTTAATACTAATAGACTTTTAAAAAGAGACAAATGTTTAGAAGTATTACTTGAGGTTTTGAGATTTTTGTGGATGTTTATTAATTTGTCTTTTCACATAAAATTCTGGTAGATTCCTGAAAAAATTGACAAGATACATGAAGATTTTCCAAAATCGTCTCCTTGAATTTAATGGAAACGAAAGATCACTATGATTCACATGTGTTTTCCTAGATGGTCTCTGATGGCTTACCGTTCTAAAACTCAAGATAATTTGACGCATGAGTTCAACCATTAAAATAATTCCGTCTGTTGAGAAATAACTAAATAGCCCCTTTATGACAGTTTCAGTCGTATATTTTCACATGAATTCACTTCCTAATGACCTAAAATACCCTAATATGTACAGATTCCCTGAAATCGGGCTAAATCGTTGTCATGGTTCTCTATTTCTTGTTCAGTTCGTCTGATTTATTGTTGTAACAGCTAGTCATGAATTAACATTCACTGACTGATAGTTAATCTCAAACTCATTTTTGTACAGATTATTTTTCCGTTTTGAAATATATACAGAAAATGCGTTCTTCAAAACACTGAATTCGAAAAGTTGTTCCTACTTTTGGGTATTCTATTCTGATAAATATTGATCAGAAAGGTAATAGAGAATATTTATGAAGGAATACATTATCAAAATGAACTTTTTAGTTAAGAAATTCTTCATTAGGTAAACCAATATACAATGAAGTCGTAGTCATAAAACATTTTGATGAAGAAGAAATTATCAAGATTATTCAGACTTGATGACTTACTTGTTCTACTTCGATAGTCGTCAACAAGGTATTTGAAAAACATATATCCAAGATGTCTTATCGAAATGGCTACTTGTTCAATTGGATAAATAATCTATCATTTATATACTGTGTCACACATATATGCAAAGTATTAGCCATGAGAATGAGTATTTGAAAGTTTAATAAACACTTATAAGAGGGAAATATGAAATTTAATCGGAAACCTTTCGTTCAACCTCTTATTTGGAAACTTTACATTCGAATCCGAATGTGTCATTTGCTTGAGATCTTGTCAGGGGCATCAAGAAAAGCAATAGTTAAGTCCTAATAATGTTACTAAAGAGCATTAAAATCAGCTGGAAAATACACATTTCAACCAGTAATTCTAGTAAAATAGAAATAAATGATCGTACTGTTGGATGATCATTTTGTACACTTGATCGAATTCACGTTTCGTATTCCCTAATCAATTCATCGCAATTCGTCATACCATTTTGGAATGTTAGTCAAACTTTTGGGTTATCGAGCAACTAAACATTAACACTTACTACCTAAATTGTACTGCCTGGTGCTATATAAAGCTCAAAAAGGTTATTCTAGCTTCTGGAAAGGCTGATTTATTCATTCTTTTCAAGTCGAATTATTACCTTAATAATCATTCTCTTAATAACCCTGACTGTTTTATATGAGCGCACGTGTGTTCATTGTTTATCCTACATATCGTATGTCTGTAGCTTTTTTTGTTTGAATATAAACACCGAGTCATGCTTGTGCTAATGAAGTTGGCTCAGTCGCCTTCTCCGCTCCGCTTTTCCGATTCTTATTCTGAATGTCTGTCTGGATAAACGAATGCTCAAAATAAATCCTTTCAACGCAATCCATATTTAGCTTTTTAGTACAGCCTTCACATACGGGGCTGGCTTAGGTAATATACGGAGTTAAAGGGAAGATTTATGTTTATAGTATGTTCATACGTTCATCCAAATCGGAGTCAGACCAGCTGGCCACAAAAGCCTACTATTTTGGAGTCAGATGCAAAGCCACAAAAAGCAATCCTTTACACAATCAGTACAGTCAACGTGATAATATGGAATGTTCATGAGCAATTTATTTTCTAAATTACTCCACAGTTTCAACAGTTGGTAAACCAAGTTCTTAAAGACTGAATTAATACTAGAGAAAACTTTCTAATGCTTAGTTTGTATAACTTTAGATGGATTTTTAGACTCATTTATAGAGCTAGGCTATAGGTCAACTGCACGTCATGAACTTCTAAAAACGTTTTAAATTTTAAAAATTAAAATCGGGATTTTTACATTAATTTACTGACATAACTTTATAATTGGCTAATAGATTCGGCACTTACAGTTGTTGCGTCTTACGCTACTGTGTAATAAATAATCAAATCTATTATTGTAAGTCTAAATCATCTTTTATTAGCTTAGTATATAGAGAACCTAATCGGTAAATATTTACCAATGAGCTGTGATACTGAATTAAAGGGGTTTATCAAGGCTGACAATATTCTATAATTAAAGTGTAGAGAATCAACAAACTTATGAGTGACAAAACTTTCTATTAATTTCCTGCAATTTAATTGACACATAGAGGCGCTTTTCTCATAGTAAAACTAGCAAATATCCCAAGAAGTCATAACATTGCATGTCATTTTAACAAAGGTTTAAAAAGGATCACTATCTATGTATAACTATCTAAATGTTATCCATGATATATACAAAATCTTATGTCGTGGTGTAAAGATTTATTTGTTGGTAAATATTTTTAAATCAGTGAGTGCATACAATGACATTATTTATCTTTTTGCATATTTATTATTATTATTTTATTTGAACACATAAATAATGGTAGAAGGGGGCACCAAATATATATGTACCACACTAAACAATGAGATTGGGAAGAGAAAAAGAATGTAAGGTGCGTACAAGAAAAAAAGAACAATAACGACCACAGATTAGTGTAAGGTAGTGTAATATTAATAATAATATTCATAATAATAGTATTAATAGTGGGGGGAACGGAAAGGTACAACCAGAAGAAATCTTTCAGCTAAGGAAGATACAACCCCTTTTTATGAAGAAAGTAAAAGAAGGTTACAGACCGATCACCACTGGCTTCTATTCTGAGCCATATCTGATAACGTTTCTAGCCTTTGTGTTGCACCATCTCTCAGACCCCAACCAGGGAGTCGTCGCGGACCAACAGAAGCCAGCCCTTCGCAGCTTTCTTTCATACCACGTCACCATGTCATTCACTGACCACCTCCCCGCTTTTTCCAACCAGTCCCAGCGTCGGCAAATAATTCACGACATGGAATTCTCTGGAACGACATTCGTAGAACATATCCAAGCCACCGAAGTCGGTGTTTCAGGCTAGTGATGCCAATTGGGTTATCGTCTCTGCGCCCGAACACACGAAGCCGAACCTCTGCATTACTAACATGGTGCTGCCATTGGATGTCAGCAATCCTTCGGAGACAACGTTGATCAAACACAGAGAGTCTTCTAACATCCTTAACTCGGAGAGGCTATGTTTTACAACCATAGGGCAAAAGTGCTCACATAGACACGTTGTAGATCCGACCTTTTACAGCCAGACTGACATCACGAAGGCACCAA